ACGCGGCCGTCACCCCCGTGAGTGACCGGGTCGGAGAGCGCGGGTCATCAGAGCGCAGTGGGGGCGCCCTGGGGGAGGTGCTAGCGGCGCTTGGGGACTGCCCGGGGCACCGCGTCGTCCCCGACAGCGGCGCCGATCCACGGGGCCCCAGCCCCTCTATCCAGCCCCAGCCCTGCCTGATCCCGGCCGCGGGGACTCAGGATGGGCGGCGTGGGGGCGGCCTGGGGCCTTGGAGACGTGAACGAGGTGACAGGGACGCTGGGGCCACCTGCCTCTCGCACCGCGGCAACCAAGTGCCCTCGTGATTTGAAGAAGAGGGAGACAGAATCGGAGACCAAAGCATCTGAAGGCCGCGCTGGTGGATCGAAGCCACAGGGAGGAGACGAGGAGGCGGCACTCCTGTCTGAAAGAGCCTTCCTTCTACACCTGCGAGGACGCGCCTTGCAGCGGTCCACCGGGAAGCTGCAGGACAGGACCCAGTCCCCCGGATTCCTCTTCTTCAGGGGCCCTTACAGCGTCCACACAGCAGGCAGCTGGAGAGGGAGGAGCCAACTCATACCGCCACGTGTGGAGGCCGCCCAGTCCGGAATACTCATTCCACGCAGGAACCAGTCTCTCCAAGAGTCACCATACCCAAGGAAGCCCATAGCATAGCTCCCTTCCATTACTTAGTGATGATTCCTCCCAAATCAGCTTCCCTTGCCAGCCAGGAGCTGTTTTCACGGTAGGCACTATTGCCTAGTAGGCGGCTGGCACATTCCACCTTCCCCTTCTGCCAGGAAAACAGGTAGGAGGCCAACTGCATTCAGTTCAAATAATGCAAAAAGGGAAACATTGTTAAACTTTTGCACATGAATATTGCTTTTATTAAAATCTAGAGATTTTTTTTTTTTTTTTTTTGAGATGGAGTTTTGCTCTTGTGGCCCAGACCAGAGTGCAGTGGGGTGATCTTGGCTCACTGCAACCTCCACCTCCCCGGTCAAGCAATTCTCCTGCCTCAGCCTCCCAAGTAGCTGGGATTACAGGTATGTGCCACCACGTCAGGCTGGTCTCGAACTCCTGACCTCAGGTGATCCACCCACCTCAGCCTCCCAAAGTGCTAAAATTATAGGCCTGAGCCACCGTGCGTGGCCTAAAATCTGGAGATATCAAACCTAATTGTATCTATATTCTCTTCTTTTACAAACTGGAAAAAAAAAAAGTTACTCTACAGAACATGAAAACAGAGACATATCTCAGTGGCAATACATGTTAAGGGCTTTAATTCAATTCCTGTTGTTGAAACCCAAAAACAAACAAACAAAAACAGAAAACCTTCGTGAAAGCTGCTGCTAACAAAATGGAGTGGGGGGAAGGCCATGAAGAAGCCCTCACACCCACAGGCCTGAAACAGGACTTATCCCAACACGTTCCTGCAGGTAGCCAGCATCAGGATTTATTGTAAGGACTTCTCAAGGCCGCGGTATTCCAGATCCACCACTAGCATGCAACACTGACCTGGCAACAGCTGCCTCCACTGACACACAGAGCCAGCTCCTGCAGTGAGCTCTGTCACGTAGGACGCTTGTTTCAAAGCAGCTCATGTGCACATCTATTTGTCTTTAAAAGATTCTTCTTTGGCTGGGTGCGGTGGCTCATGCCTGTAATCCCAGCATTTTGGGAGGCCAAGGTGAGTAGATAGCTTGAGGTCAGGAGTTCGAAACCAGCCTGATCAACATGGCAAAACCCATCTTCACTAAAAATACAAAAATTAGGCAGGAGAATCACTTGAACCCAGGAGGCGGAGGCCGCAGTGAGCTGAGAGCACACCAACTGCACTCCAGCTTGGGTGACAGAGCAAGACTCCGTCTCAAAAAAAGAAAAATACTCCTCTTTGCCATGACATCCCTGGATATACCCTGATCCATCATCATAGCACACACATCCCGAAGTGCAATCCCTTGCCTAGTCCAAAGCGAGCCCATTTATTCTGGAGATCCTTGTCTGAGCTTTTTAGGCTAATGCCTGTACACTTGCTACATGTGGTAACTCACAGTTACTAATATCTCAGAAAAACTCTTCTCTAAGCCAAGGAGGCTAGCAGACTTGGCCCTCCATGCCCAGGCAGGCTTGCCACTTGGGAGGGGCTGGGAGCTACCACCCTGTCAAAGGCAGAGGCCTTGGGACCACGTGGTGGCATTCCAGACCTATAGGTGGGGAACGAATAACTTCATAGCATGGAAACTTCCAGTGGGCAGCAGTAGCAGGCCATTCTGACCCTTTCTGAGACGGCTTTTGGGGAACGTGGTCCAGGTGGTGAATGTTACCCACCCAACCAATGCAGGTCTGAGGACAGACCGTTCTTGGGCGGGGCAGGAGATGGAGGATTGCCAGCCGTCTGGACCTAGGCAGGGGATATGAGGTGGCACACCATCCAACCTGAGCAACTTATGTCCCTGCACACTGGCTCCTTCCCCCAAGGTTGGCAGAGGATTCCCTGTCCAATGCCGTAACTTTTCTAGTGTTGGATGTACCAGACACGCCTACAGTCTACCGCAAGACTAGTGGCTGGTGGGGCCTGGAGGTCAGAAGGTTGGGCCACGTGATTCCTAAGGGACACCCCCTTCTGATATTCCATTATTCAGTCCGAGAAGCCCACAGGGAACTGCCAAAAACCTTCAAATTACTTTCTGCATAGATGTATCAGATCATTCTACTGAAGGGCAACCCTGTGGCATGACTGACAACCATGACATTCTCACCGAATCAAGCTACACCTGCCACCTGAGGGCTTCCTCTCCTCTCACTTGACGATGGTTAGAACCAGCTCTCCAGTAGAAGGACTGACAGACACAGTATCACAAGTATCCTCCCTGTTTCCAGCACAAAGTTTAGACTGCTCCGCCTGGTGCCCAAGGCCTTGAGTTGGCCCATGTGTTTTTTGATTTTTGGTGTTTTTTTTTTTTTTTTTGAGACAGAGTTTTGCTCTTGTTGCCCATGCTGGAGTGCAGTGTCACGATCTCAGCTCACCACAACCTCCGCCTCCCGGGTTCAAGTGATTCTCTTGCCTCAACCTCCCAAGTAGCTGAGATCACAGGCGTGTGCTACCACATTCGGCTAATTTTGTATTTTTAGTAGAGACAGAGTTTCTCCATGTTGGTCAGGCTGGTCTCGAACTCCCGACCTCAGGTAATCCACCCACCTCGGCCTCCTGAGATTATAGGCATGAGCCACCTTGCCCAGCAGCCCATGTGTTTAAGCGTCACCTCCCCGAACCTCCAAGCAACAAGATGCCTCCTGCAGCCATGCAGAACCAAATATGTTCACCCCACTGCAGCCCTAGCCATTTCTCTCTGCCTCCATCTGAACATCCTGCTCCAGATCCTTTTCCCCTCTACACTCACATCTCCAGCTGGCCTGTTCGGTGCTGTCACGTGGGCGCTGCCAGCCTGCAAGGTCCAGGGGGTTCCTGGCTGGCAGGGCTCCTGTTTACCCATGTGTCTGCTAAGATGGAACATGTGACACGTGACTAGTCACAAACTGAAACCTCTGCTCCAGGAGGCCCTCGTGAGATGCCACACTCTAGGAAGCTGTGTGGCTACTTCTTGCTTAGGAACTTGGGTGGTGGCGTCACCCCTTAGGATCTTCCTGTTCCCAGAGGCCAGCAGCATTGTTCCCCTCTTCCTCCAACTTCAGGTTCAGGTTTAGGCCTCTGTCCAGCCTGGCTTGGTGACGGTGGCCCTGCCCCACAGGCTTCACACTCCTGGCTTTGAAGCTGGAGTTCCAGATCTTTGCAATAGTCCCTTCCTCTCATCCTCTAGGTCTTCATCTTTCATCTATGTCACCTGTCTCACACTCACTGCTTTTTAGTTTTGTTTTTTTTTTTTCTCGAGACAGGGTCTCACTCTATCACCCAGGCTGGAGGGCAGTGATGCAATCTTGGTTCACAGCAACCCCCGCCTCCTGGGTTCAAGCGATTCTCCCACCTCAGCCACCTAAGTAGCTGGGATTACAGGCGCACACCACGATGCCTGGCTATTTTATTTCTTTTTGAGACAGTCTCCTTCTGTCACCCAGGACGGAGTACAGTGGTCTGATCTCAGCTGACTGCAACCTTCGCCTCCTGGGTTCAAGTGATTCTTGGGCCTCAAGCCTTCCAACTAGCTGGAATTAGAGGCACGTGCCATCATACCCAGCTGATTTTTATATTTTTAGTAGAGATAGGGTTTCATAATGTCATCCAGGCTGGTCTCAAACTCCTGGCCTCAAGTGATCTACCTGCCTCAGCCTCCCAAAGTGCTGGGATAATAGGCGTGGGCCACTGCAACTGGCCAAGGCTTCTTCAACTCTTAAACTTCAGAAAAGATACCTGGCCAACCAGTTAATATCCTCATTAGAATTATTCTTACATACGATTCTGCCTCCTAAAGAGAAACAAATAAGGCCCAGTTTCTCCTCTTTAAACTGATCAGATTGGTCAGTCATCGTGATTCAATCTCAGCACTTTGGAAGGCTGAGGTGAGAGAATCACTTGAGCCCAGGTGTTAGACCATCCTGGGCAACACAGTGAGACCACATCTCTACCGAGAAATTTTTAGAAATTAGCCTGGCATGGTGGTGAGTGCCTGTGGTCCCAACTCAGGAGACTGAGGCAGGAGGATCACTTAAGTCCTGAGGTCAAGGCTACAGTGAGCTGTGATCACACCACTGCACTCCAGGCTGGGAGACAGAGCAAGACACCAACTCAAACAAAAACAAAAAAACCTGATCACAGAAACAACAGCTTTCAGAGATTAGTTTACTTTTGTCTGTCCTGTGTCTTGGGTTCTGAACATCACATCTTAATTACTGGGGTCGCCTTCAGGGTGCTCATCAGAGGCGGGAGTCGGCACACAGTAGGCTTTGGGTTTCATTCGCAGAGCTTCTTCATTTGAGAGCATAGATCCACAGCAGTGGATGAGAGCCACAGAGTTGTTTGGGAAGCAGATGACACACTTATAGAGGAAACAGATACACAGAGGGCCGTTATTTTGATTTATTGCATTCTGAAGTACCCCGGGGGGGAAGGGCCTGAGAACAGTCTGCTTTATCAGCAGCTCTAAAGTCTTATTACCTGAGATTTATATTCTGAGGGGGAAAAATCAAGATTGGATTATCAATACATATTTCACAGGAGATTTGCGTTTCGGCCCTGACAGAAGAACGCGTACTAACCTGAAAAAGGCTACATGAGATTAAAGAAAGAAACAGCTTAACACCAAAAATCCCGGTGAGAGAGACATGGATTTAAAAGGCCAGCCACTCACTGTAGCGTGGCAGCTCCCTCTGGGGTAGCGAGGAACAGAGCATGAGCCACTGGCATGGAGCGTGGGCCACCAGGGCCACCTCCCCAGGAGCCCACAGTAGCCTAGGGAGGCCTTGGGAGCAGCTTTGCCTCAGCTGCGGTCACTTCTCATCGTCCCGCCCATAGTTAATCGTCTGTAAGGCCTGAGCTATGAGCATCGCCATCTCCCGGGTGCCAGCAGCAACCACTCTGCAAGCCATGAGGTCGAGGGGTCCACCTGGGGACAGAGAGGGAGAGAGCCAGGCACCCAAGTTACCAGAGAGGGCTGAACAATGTTGTATAACAACTTACCCACATGCACACAGCACAGGAAACGGCACATGGAACTATGCCCAAGCCCCAACTCAGGTGGTCTAGGAGTGAATCTGACAAAGAATAGAGGGATGGAGCCTCTCCCGCCCCACCCCAGTGTGAAGGCAGTCAAGGGCTGCACAGTACAGCGTACAGCTCTGAAGCTGCCACTGCCTTAGAGGTGGAAAACCTAAAGTCCTAAGAAATGCAAGTGATGGGCTAGACCCGAACAGGGGAGCTACCCTTCTCAAGCTTGACCATGCAGAGGGGTCAGCCAGGGCTTGTGAAACAAAGGCTCTGCCTCGGTAGGTCTGGGTGGGGCCGAAGCTGCCTGCCCACAGGTTCCTGGGGGTGCACCGCTGCTGTGGGGCCCACACTCTAAGCACCTGGGGCAAGACAGTAAAGCCCTGCATCTTCCTGGGGGATGAGAAACAGGTCTGACTGCATGGATGGAGACCCTCTTTCACATACATGAGCCTTCAGGTGTTCTAGTGGTAAAATCCAAAGTGATGGGACCTTTAAAATGTGGAATGGGGCTGGGTGCAGTGGCTCATGCCTGTAATCCCAGTACTGTGGGAGGCTAAGGTGCACGAATCATGAAGTCAGGAGTTCGAGACCAGTCTGGCTGACATGGTGAAATTCCTTCTCTACTAAAAATACAAAAAATTGGCTGGGCGCGGTGGCTCAAGCCTGTAATCCCAGCACTTTGGGAGGCCGAGGCAGGTGGATCACGAGGTCAAGAGATCGAGACCATCCTGGTCAACATGGTGAAACCCC